ATAATTATTATCATTTGCTCTTGGCGAGTCGCCGAGGCGTTCGTGCGTGCGGGCGTGCGGGCGTGCGTGCGTCCGAGGGAGGGGCCAAGCCAGTAACCTGGGTCCCTCTAGAGCAGCAGCTGTGCGGGTCCTGGCTCACAAAGTGGCTGTTGTATGTCATTAGCTGCTCATCATATCACAGCCAGCTTTGATGAGCGAGAACTCGGCACCAAATCCAGCGAAAGGGATAACCCCTCCCCCTCCCTCCCCTCCCTCCCCCCTGCCCCTCCCCTCCCCTCCCCCAGCAACTCCTTCCTTCCCTTTCCTTCTATTCCTTTCCTCCCCGTCCTGTCTTTCCCTTCCTACCTCCCACCCCCTGCCGCCCTTCCCCTCCCCTCCATTCCCCTCCTTACCCCGTTAATGCACCGTCGCCGTCGCTTTTTTGTTTGTTTGTTTGTTATTTGTTATTGTTTTGTTCCGTTTTCTATTTTTCTTCTCTTCTACATGTGTGATTTAGGGCCGTTGCTAGTATTATGGTCTGTAATTTTTAACATCGTTGTGGTCGCCCTTCACCCTTTTTTTAGCATTGTTATTACCATTGTTACTGTTATTGTAGCTGTTATTGCTCGTTATTTTTTGTTATCATTATTATTTCTTTTGCTAGGAGTACTACGATTATTAATTTTGCTATTGCGTATTAACAACAACAAATACTACTATACTATACTATACTATACTACTACTACTACTACTACTACTACTACTACTACTACTACTACTACTACTACTACTACTACTACTACTACTACTACTATACTACTACTACTATACTACTACTACTATACTACTACTACTATACTACTACTACTACTACTACTATACTACTACTACTACTACTACTACTACTACTACTAGCTACTACTATACTACTACTACTATACTACTACTATACTACTACTACTACTACTACTACTACTATACTACTACTACTACTACTACTACTACTGTACTACTACTACTACTACTACTACTAGTACTACTACTAACTAGCACTACTACACTAGCACTAGCACTAGCACTAGTAGTACTAGTACTAGTAGTAGTACTAGTAGTACTACTACTACTAACTACTACTACTACTACTACTTACTTACTACTATACTACTACTACTAGAGAGAGCTTGCGCGGAAAATCTAAACGGTTTATAAGTAGGAAAAGAAGTTACAAAAATATAACGATTCCCCTCTCCCCCCTTCTTCTTTTATTTAATTTTTCTCCTTTATTTGTCGCTTTGTATGTCTTGTTTTCATTTCTATCTGAACTTCGACGTTCTTGGGTGATAAGCAGTGATAGTGATCTAAGAAAATGGACAAAGGGAAAGGCAGACATTGCTATGGGAATAAGAAAGGCAATTGGTTCCAATTAGAGTAGCAACAGGGCTGCAACGCTCATCATTGCAAGGAAGACGCCGCGGTGCACGATGCAAATAGAAGGGGAAGATGGTGGGCGGGGGTGGGGGAGGTGGGAGGGGGGTGTTATGTAGTGCATCCGCGAGCCACATACTTCATTTGACCACATGGCGTCCTTGTGTGTGTGTGTGTGTGTGTGTGTGTGTGTGTGTGTGTGTGTGTGTGTGTGTGTGTGTGTGTGTGTGTGTGTGTGGTGTGTGTGTGTGTGTGTGTGTGTGTGTGTGTGTTCTGGCCATGACGCCACATCATAGGAGGGCCACGTTTCTTCCCCTCTCCCCCTTCTCCCCCCTCTCCTTTGCCAGAGTGCCACGAGAGAATGAGAGGGGGGGGAGATAAAAGGGGGGGTAGGGAGGTTGTCGCATTGGGGGCTCATGTCGTTGGGGCGGTGTCAGGGGCGACGTCAGAAGCACTGTTTGTCTGTCACATGGAGTGTCACATTGGGAAGTCGTGCCGCTATACCTTCGTGGTCGGTATTTTTAGTGCTTTTTTGAGGGGGGGGGAGGGGTAGCAGGTAGGCGGGGGGTGAGGGGGGGATTAGGCAAAGGGGGGAAGGTTGATGAAGCCGTAGTACGACTCATCACTTCGCACGACTTTCGTTGAGAGAGAGAGAGAGAGAGAGAGAGAGAGAGAGAGAGAGAGAGAGAGAGAGAGAGAGAGAGAGAGAGAGAGAGAGAGAGAGAGAGAGAGAGAGAGAGAGAGAAATATTTTGGGGGGTTTTAAGGATGATATGACAAGATTTTTAGTTTGATGAAATTTATGTTTTTCCTTTTCTTTCTTTCTTTCCCATTTTCTCATTTTTCATCTTATACGTTCGTGACCTCATGCCCCCCCCCCCTTCCGCCTTCCGCCTTCCCTTTCCTCAACCCACCCTTTATACCGACATGCCCACCTCATGCCCATTGCACGTGGTGAAAACATGGCTTGGGTGATAACGAAAATGATAACGGCGTTTTTATTCGTAAATTATAAAGGCAGATTGAAGTTTTTCCTCCATATTTTATGTCAACTACGGCGTTTGTCTGCATGCAACCCCCCACCCCACCCCACCCCACCCTCACCTCCCCACTGCGCATGCGACAAGCCAGAAAAGCCCGAAGGAGGAGCGAGAGCGGAGATCAGACCCGCTGCGTCGCTTATCAGAGTGGGTGTGATGTGTGGTGTTGCGTCATATCACAGCCAGCTTTGATGAGCGCGGCGGCGGGGCAGCACGACGGAGACGGAGAGGGAGAAGATGCGCACCGAAGGACGTGGTGATGGGGCACGGGGTGCGGGGGAGGGGCGGGGCGAGGTACGGGGGGGCCCAGTTCGGGGCACGCGGGATTTTGGTTTACGCACATACAGACACGGGCAAAAACATTCACTCATTCGCTCGCTCACTCACTCACTCACTCGCTGGGACACCACACACACACACACACACACACACACACACACACACACACACACACACACACACACACACACACACACACACACACACACACCACACACACACAATTTACAATTTACAATTTACAATCCCATATGTAACCAAAAAAATTGAGGCTAGAATATTTATATCCTGAGACCTTGCATTTAAGGTTTCTTCGGGTAAAAAAATAAATAAATAAACATAAAAAGTATCCCGGAGTAATGAATTTTGTCTCTATTATCGAGGAACTTCAGGTTTTAGTCGTTAGTCGCAGTGCCAATTAGGTGTAAGTGCCAACTATAATTAGCAGTGACGGGTCGTGAGTGATACTTGTTAGCGCGGGGATTGAAGAGGGCGCTGTATTGACGCAAGTGAAATACTTACGCCTCAGAATTATACAATGAGAAAGATGGTCGGGTCAGATGATGGTAAGTTTTAAAAAAGGGAGAGAAAGAAAGGGAAAAAATGAGCGTAGTTTGATTTATGTGGTAGATATATATATATATATATATATATATAGTATGTACATGCATATACCTATCAAGACGGCAGGGTATAGAGGCATTAGAAAGGAGGGGAGAGAGGAGGGGGTTGGAGGGGGAAGTAAGGGAGGGGAGTTGGACGGGGAACTGAGGGGAGGGAGTTGGAGGGGGGAAGTAAGGGGAGGGGAGGGGAGGTGGATCGAGGGAGAAGAGGGGATTGGGAAGGGGGGAAGTTATCTCGAGGGGAGATTATGTTGTTTTTCTCACTACCTGGGAACCTGACCCTGCGAGGATGCTCTCCTGGTGGCGGCGATGTGCGGTTGGAGAGGAGGAGTGAGGGAGAAGAGAGAGAGAGAGGGAAAGAGAAGAGAGAGAGGAAAAGAGAAAGAGAGAGCGAGAGGGGGAGAGAGACAGAGAGGGGCGGGGAGTGGGAAGGGGGATGTTCACACTTTTAGGATGGGATGCACTCTTCTGCATCGCTGTCCTCCTTTTTCTTCTCTCGCTCATTTGTCTTACCTTCCTTCCTTCCATCCACATTCGTCGATTTAAAAGGTTTTCTGTCTCCACTCAAACCCCCCCCCTCCCCCTCTCTCCTCTCTCTCTCTCTCTCTCTCTCTCTCTCTCTCTCTCTCTCTCTCTCTCTCTCTCTCTCTCTCTCTCTCTCTCTCTCTCTCTCTCTCTCTCTCTCTCTCCTCTCCCTCTCCTCTCCCTCTCCCTCTCCCTCTCCCTCTCTCTCTCCCTCTCCTTCTCTCTCTCTCTCTCTTCTCTCCCTCTCTCTCTCTTTCCCCCCTTCTCTCCCTCTCTCTCTCTTCCCTTCTCTCCCTCTCTCTCTTTCCCCCCCTTCTCTCCCTCTCTCTCTCTTTCCCCCCCTTCTCTTCCTCTCTTCCTCTCCCCTCTCTCCTCCCTCCCTCCCTCCCTCCGTCTCCCCATCTCCCTCTCTCCCCCTTCTCTCCCCTCTCTCCCCTCTCTCCCCTCCTCTTCCTCTCTCCCTCCCTCATCCCTCCGTCTCCCCCTCTCCCTCTCTCTCCCTCTCTCCTCACATATGCTTTCTTTGTGGTATGTATTTTTTCTCTCATCAATGTAGGAGAGGGTAGGAGGAAGGAGAAGCTAAGAGAAGAGAAGAGGTAGGGGGTGGGGGTGGGGGAAGCGATAGAGTGGTTTGTTGTTGTTTGCGCAGTGTGTAAGTGTGTAAATAGAGAGGGAGTAAGCAGGGGTAGGAGGACGTCGGTGTTTTTTCCCATGTTTTCGTGTGTGTGTTTTTTTTTTTTTTTTTTTTTTTTTTTTTAGTTGGATGAATCGCGGATGAGAGAGAGTGCGAGAGAGAGAGAGAGAGATGAGAGAGAGTGAGAGAGAGAGAGAGAGAGAGAGAGAGAGAGAGAGAGAGAGAGAGAGAGAGAGAGAGAGAGAGAGAGAGAGAGAAGAGAGAGAGAGAGGGGGGGGGGGGGTGGCAGGCAGTAGAATAGAAGAGAGAAGGGGGTATGTCGTGGAAGGGGAAGCGAAAGAGGAGGAGGGGCGGGAACAAGCAAGCGAGCGAGCGAGCATGACTTATGACATAAGACTGGCCGCGCCGGCTTGCATGCACGTAGGCAGCGAGCGAGCGAGCCTACGAGAGCGAGCGACCGCACGCGGAGCCTTACTATCCCCGTTATGCACCGCAGCTCATGTCCAAGATGGCGCCGCTGATCGGGCGGGAGATGACTGAGCGGCTGTTCCTGGAGCGGTTCACGCGCCTCTGCTCCGACGCCCTCTTCCAGGTCCGCAAGGTGTGCGCCTCCAACTTCGGCGACTTCTGCAGCGTGGTCGGCACGCAGCCCACCGAGGAGGTCCTGGTGAGTACCCGCGCCCACGTTCTTTGAGTCCATGGAGAGGGGGAAGCCGTCAGATAGATAGGCTTCGGAAATAGATAAGTCATATGAATAGATGATGATGGATGAGGTACAGGATAGATCGACGGAGAAAATGGTAAGTGATAGACATCAACTGAAATCTATCGTCTTTGCCCCAGACGTGGAATCCTGTTTCAGTTGCTATCCAAATGTTTCCCTTTTCTTTGTATGCATCTAATTTTTTTGACGCCCTGGTCTCTCTTTCATCGCCTCTGTTACTCGTTTCTCATTACTATTATTTGTTCGTTGTTTTTTTTAGCTCGATACTCTTCATTCTTTTTTTCTTTTATTATGATTTTTAGGTATTACTTACTCTGTTATTATGCCTGTCCCTGTTTCGAAGTCTCCCGCTGTTGCCTTTTTATTTTATCATTCGTTAGACACAGCTTTTCCTTTGTATTTTGACTGTGGCTGTATGCGTATTCGCATCCGCTTGTGCATGAGAGAGAGAGAGAGAGAGAGAGAGAGAGAGAGAGAGAGAGAGAGAGAGAGAGAGAGAGAGAGAGAGAGAGAGAGAGAGAGAGAGAGAGAGAGAGAGAGAGAGAGAGAGAGAGAGAGAGAGAGAGAGAGAGAGACATGAGAGAGTAAGAGTGAGTGAGTGTGGTGAGGAAAAATTCTCCTGCAATAACTCGCGACGGGCGGGCTTTGGGACTCCGAAAGATGCACTAGGGAAGGTCAGGGAAGGGCAGAGCTAGAGCGGCTTCCTTCCTCCTCCTCTCTCTCCCTCCCTCCCTCCCTTCCTTTCCTTCCTTCTTCCTTCCTTCCTTTCCTTCCTTCCTTCCTTCCTTCCTTCTTCCTTCCTTCCTTCCTTCCTTATCCTCTCCTTCCCTCCCTTCCTTATGCCCTTCCTCTCACCCTGTCTTATGCCCTCCCTCCGTCTCTCTCCGTCTCTGTAGGTCATATGGGAAGCTGAAAGGAGGGACGGAGGGAAGAAAAGGAAGTAAAGAAGGAAAGAAAGAAATGCGAGGGAAGCAATGACCACATGGAGAGGGAAAAATAGGGAAATGATGATAATTGTGATTTCGATAATAATAGGACCAGGAGAATGAAGGAAGAAGGTAAGATGAGACAAAGATCTTGAGAGAGAGAGAGGGAGAGGGAGAGGGAGAGGGAGAGAGAGAAGAGAGAAAGAGATGGGGGTGGGGCGTAGTAGTAGAAGGGTACACAGCTGATATATTTAATACGAGGAGGGTGTTTGGGTGCTTTGAAGGTGCGGGATCGAGAGCAAGGAGGGAGAGAACAGTGAAAGAGAGAGGGGAGGAGAGGATAGAGAGAGTGGAAGAGAGAGAGAGAGAGCGAGAGAGAGGAGGGAATGAGAAGGAGAGGAGAGGGGAGAGACGTGAGCGAGGGAGGGAGCGAGAGTAGGGGAAACTGCACTGCGCACATCCCGGTAAAAGGGTAGCAAGCATACCGGGATGCCAGCCCTGATACTAGGAAAACACCGCCAACGAGGCTGGGATGAGGAGGGAGAAGAGAAGGGGGAGAGGGAACGAAGAGAGGAAGAAATCGAAAAGAGGCAGAGAGGTAGGTAGAGAGTGAGTGGAAAAGAAAAGAGAGGAGGGAGGGCAAAGAGAAAAGAGAAGGGGAGGGGCCGGTGTTGCATCTGCCGTTGCATCTGGTGGCGTTGTTGTGGAGATGGAGATCCGGGGAAGGAAGGAAGGAAGGAAGGAAGGAAGGAGAGAGACTCTTTAGGCGAGGACGCGGCGAGAAAAGGCCACGGGCGGCGTCGCTGATTGGGAACAGGAGAAGGTCGCGTTTCTCCGGAGGGGAAAGGGCGTAGCAACAGCAGCAGAAGCAGGAGGAGCGGCAGGAGAGCGCGGGCGAGGGGAGAGAGGCTGTCCCGAAGCGCCGCGCCAGAGACAGGAGGAGGAGCAGCAGGAGCAAGGAGGACGGAGGAGAGTGAGGAAGTACAGGGGAGGAGTGTGGGCAGGGAGCAGGAGATGGTGATAGTAGGAGGGCGCGGGGGATGCAGTAGCAGCAGGAGAGGCAAATGGGATGGCTGGAGGCGCTGGCGGAGCGGCGGCGGGAGGACGAGCAGAAGGAAGAGCAGTCCGAGAGTAGGAGGAGGAGATTGGCAGGGAGGGTCGGAGAGCAAAGGAGTGCGAGTAGGAGGCCGGCGAGGGCTCTGAGGAGGAAGGTTTGCCGTCAGCAGTAGCAGGAGGCGGGCGTTCGGGAGGCGGGCGGCGGGAGGAAAGGGGCAGGGCGCGGCGTGGCGAGCGCGTGGGATCAAAGCGGGAGCCGCGGCGGCTGGGGCGGCCACCTTTAAGGCGGCACACAGGCGCACACACGACCATGCCACACACACATCACACACACTCACACTCACATATATAGTGCTGCACGTACATGGGCAGGGGGTCCACACGAGCGAGTACACGCACACACACTCGCACACTCACACACTGAGCGGGCGCAGCTTCCCTCGGCTCGGAGGGAAGGCGCGAGGCTCTCGCTGCTCTCCCCATGCAAGCTTTTACGAAGTGGACCTCTGGTCAGGCCGGCCTCCCTCCCGGCGGCGCGCGCGTGCCCGCCCTCGCCCGGCCCTTCGGCCTGCATTCTTGCCTGCTGGGTGGTCACTCTGCTCCTCTCATGCTCTCACGGACAGACCATGTTCAATGCCTGCACCTGCTCGCGAACTCATGAACAATTCTCTCTCTCCCCCCCTCCCCTCCTCCCTCCCCTCCTTCGCTCTCCCACTCTCCCTGGCCGCTGGCTAAAGTCTCCCACCGCTCTCCCTGCTCGCCAGCTCTATCTCGCGCTCGCTATCTATCTGTATCGCCCTCCTCGACCCTCTCCTTCCTCCTCCGCCCTCTCCTTTTTCCTCCCCGCCCCTTCCCAGCCCAACCTCCCTCCCTCCCCCTCCCTCTCCCCTCCCACCTCCCTCTCCCCAGCCCACCTCCCTCCCCCTAGCCCCTCCCTCTCCCTAGCCCACCTCCCTCTACCCAGCCCACCTCCCTCTCCCCTAGCCCACCTCCCTCCCCCTCCCACCTCCTCTACCCTAGCCCACCTCCCTCTAGCCCACCAGCCCACCTCCTCTACCCTAGCCCACCTCCCTCTACCCTAGCCACCTCCCTCTACCCAGCCAGCCACTTCCCTCTCCTCTAGCCCACCTCCCCCTCCCCAGCCACCACCCCTCCCCTTCCCTAGCCCACCTCCCTCCCCAGCCCCCTCCTCAGCCCACCTCCCCGTCCCCAGCCCACCTCCCTCTCCCCCATCCCTCTCCCCAGCCCACCTCCCCTTTCCCCAACCCACCTTCCTCTCCCCAGCCCACCACCCCTTCCCCCACCCACCCCCCCCCCAGTCCCCACTTCCCCCTCTCCTCCCAGCCCCACACCCCCTCCCCAGCCCCCACCTCCTCCTCCCCAAGCTCATCCAGCGAAATGTCCCGAGCGGGCCCGCCGCCCTCCGCTGGCACCTCCGCCGCACCGCTGGCTGCCATCACTCTCCCCGCCGACAACCCGCAAACATCCTTGGACTACTTCGCCTACCTGTTGACCTGTGAGAGCGAGGTCACCTTCGCCCTGGACTTGTGTGTGTGTTGTGCGCCTGGGTCCCCCCCCCTCCCATCCCCGGTCCCTGCAGCCCTTTTTTTTTCTTTCTTTTTTCTTCCTTTTCTCCAGTTTCTGCCATACCCGTTCCTTCCGCCTCCTTCTTCCCTCTTCTCAATTTCCTTTCCTCTTACTTTCCTTCTCCGTCCCCTCCTTTCCCTCTCCTCCCTCTCCTCCCTCCGTCCTATCTACTAGGGTGCGGAGTAATGGTTTATGGCGACGGTGTCCTGGCACCATTATCCTGATAGGAGTGCCATCGAGTGACCAACACCCCCTAGGAGAGGAGAGGGAGAGGAGGGGGAGGGAGAAAGGGAAAGAAAGAAAGAGATGGAGGGAGAGAGCAAGAAAGATGGAGGGAGGGAGGGAGAGAGAGAAAGAGAGAAAAGAGAGAGGGGGAGGGAGGGAGAAAAAAAAGAATGAGATAGAGGGAGGAAAAAGTGAGTTAGAGAGGGAAAAAAATGAGATAGAGAAAGAAAGAGATAGATAGAGAGAGAGAAAATGAGAATGAGAGAGGGGGAAAAAATTGTTATCCTCCGCCCCGGCCGCCTTCCATCGCCGTAATGGGCAGGTGACTTGAACTCTGCTGATTCCTGGCCGCGACCACACCCTGCTTGGCCTGCCCTCTGATTATGTCACTTATCGCTCCCCTTGCCCCCCTCCCTCCTCCCATCTCTCTCTCTCTCTCTCTCTTCTCTCTCTCTCTCTCTCTCTCTCTCTCTCTCTCCTCTCTCTCTCTCTCCTCTCTCTCTCTCTCTCTCTCTCTCTCTCTCTCTCTCTCTCTCTCCCCTCTCTCTCTCTCTCTCGTCTTCTCTCTCTTCTCCCCCCCCCTCTTCTCTCTCTCCCCCCCTCTCTCTTCCCCCCTCCCTCTCTCTCCCCCCCTCTCTCTCTCCCTCCCTTCCTCTCTCCCCCTCCTTCTCTCTCTCTCTCGTCTCTCTCTCTCTCTCTCTCTCTCTCTCTCTCTCTCTCTCTCTCTCTCTCTTCTCTCTCTCTCTCTCTCTCCCTCTCTCCCTCCCTCCCTCCCTCCCTCCCTCCCTCCCTCCCTCCTCTCTCTTCCTCTCTCTCTTCTCTCTCTCTCTCTCTCTCTCTCTTCTCTCTCTCTCTCTTCTCTCTCTTCTTCTCTCTCTCTCTCTCTCTCTCTCCTTTCCTCTCCTTTCCTCTTCTCCCCTCCTCTCTCCTCTCCTCTCCCTCTTCTCCCTCTCTCTCTCCTCTCTCCTCTCTCCCACCCTCCTCTCCTCTCCCTCTCTGTACCCGTAAAAAACACCAGACCTCCGTTTCGCGAGTGGGTTCACGGGGAGTTATTCGCCCGCGACCATCGCTTTCTTCCTTGCTTGCTTGCCTGTTTGCTTGGACCGACCCACGATCCCTTGGCTCCTTTCTTGACTGGAAATGAATCGA